GGGTGTGTTGTGTGCTCCGAGGAATTTTCATCCAAAATCCAGCTTGCCCATCACATGAAAATGCACAAGGGGACGCAACTCGAAATCCATACGAAAGATCGTTTTGATTGCACTATGTGCAACGATAAGTTTTCGACAAATGGTCATTTTTGTGCACATCAACCCACTCACATATTAGATAAGCCGTCTAAGTGTACAGTTTGCATCGACAACTTTGCAGAAGGTGACACACTTAGTAACAAAAAATATTCGGGGGCTGAATGTCTTCATCTTCTAACGAACACTGGCGAGAAGCCTTTTGAGTGTACTGTGTGCAACAAGAAATTTTCGGAGAGTAGTAAGCTGCGCAGACATTTCCTTACGCACACGGGAGTGAAGCCTTTTGAGTGCACTGTGTGCAACAAGAAATTTTCAGTGTGCAGCAGTCTGCGCACACATCTTCGAATGCACACTGGAGAGAAGCCTTTCGAGTGTACTGTGTGCAACAAGAAATTTTCGGAGAGCGGCAGTCTGCGTAAACATCTCCTAACGCACACTGGAGAGAAGCCTTTCGAGTGTACTGTGTGCAACAGGAAATTTTCGGAGAGTGGCAGTCTGCGTAAACATCTCCGAACGCACACTGGAGAGAAGCCTTTTGAGTGTACTGTGTGCAACAAGAAATTTCCGGTGAGCGGCAGTCTGCGTGTACATCTACGAACGCACACGGGAGTGAAGCGTTTTGAGTGTACTGTGTGCAACAAGAAATTTGCGGAGAGTGGTAATCTGCGTAAACATCTCCTAACGCACACTGGAGAGAAGCCTTTTGAGTGTACTGTGTGCAACAAGAAATTTCCGGTGGGCAGCAGTCTGCGTAAACATCTCCGAACGCACACTGGAGAGAAGCCTTTTGAGTGTACTGTGTGCAACAAGAAATTTTCGCAGCGCAGCAGTCTGCGTGTACATCTACGAACGCACACGGGAGTGAAGCCTTTTGAGTGTACTGTGTGCAAAAAGAAATTTTCAG